CCTTTTCCAACGTTTTCGTGTATTTAGCTAACTCTATTCACGACGAAAGTTTTCCATCTACTGGAGCAAGACTGTATCCAAGCTAATGCGACAGTACTGTCAGTCCAAAAATATAATTCATTGAAAGTCAACTGTAGGGAATCGATTACCTTTTTTACCAACTGACTAAGTACGAGAGAACCACAAAGTTCCAATCTTGGAATCGAAATCTTTTTCAAGGGAGCTACCCGTGCTTCAGAAGTCAGAAATCGAACCGTACAATTATTAAATTTATCGCAGCTTCTAATATAGACACACACGGAAAAATGTAAGGTGCACATGATATACCTTTTAAAAATTGTATCCAATAATTAACTTCACTTCATATAAAAACAATAGGAAATAATAAGTGTAAAGTAAATTGAATAGTAAAATTTTTAGACAAGGATAACCGATGCACCAAAAGGTACAGATACTGTCCCAAAAATTTTTTTGTGCATGCACCATAAGCCATCTCTGATGCATCGGAAAATGCATGCAATTGAATATTTACAGGGTTTTGGCACAAAACGTGACGTGGTATTTGAATTTGATCTAGAGCAGGTAAACTTTCTCGTAATGTCAACCAACGAGTGCGCAAATCGAAGGGTATAGATTCATCCCAGGACAATTTAAGTTGCCACAATTTTTGAAGAATGACCTTGACTTCAGTTGCGAAAGGCGTGAGAAAACCTAAAGGGTCGAAAATCTGCGCAATGCAGGACAAAATTCGTCGTTTTGTGACAGTTAGACTTTTAATAGTCAAATTGACTGAAAAAAGCAAAATATCATTTCCCGGGTTCAATAAAAGTCCCAATGTTTTAAAATACTGAGTCATACCGACCACGAAATTTACTTCCTGTTCATTGATAGCTTGAATTTGTTTTAGAAATTCTTGATTATTCTAAGACCATTTTCTTAACTTAAACCCTCGCCCCTTTAAAATACGTACAAGATCTTGGTGAATGAATTTTTAATCGTTCAAATAATTTCCCCCGGTCAAAACATCGTCGAGAAAAAAATCGTCTAATATTATTTTATTAATTGCCGGAAGAGAATCCTGAATTTCTAGCACTATCTCGGTGAGACATCTAATAGCGAGATAAGCCCCCGCCGATGGTTGTCCACTACCGAACATCATCGATGTCTTTGACGTGCTGGGAGAAGCGGATCCACTGCCAAATATCATTGATTTCTTTGATGTACTGGGAGAAGTAGATCCACTGCCGAACATCATTGATTTCTTTGATGGGCTGGGAGAAGTGGGTCCGCTGCCAGACATGATTGATTTCTTTGATGAGTTGGGAGAAGTGGGTTCGCTGCCAGACACGACTGGCATCATGGATATGTTCGGTAGACCTTGTCGTATTGGCGGGGCTTTTCACTAAAGGGCAACTAAACAGCAAGAAAAAATGGATTCAGAAAATTCAGAGAAGGTACCCCATGTGAGCAGGCCGGAAACGGGAAATCTCACCATCGGTCCCAGGACTGATGCTCAAGTGCGCGCGGATTGTGGGAGCGCACAATTTCTTGCAGTACCACGTGTGATCGTGGAAAGGTTAGAACCACAGAACATCGTGGAAAAAGAAAGAAGGAGAAAAGGAAGCGCGTCGAGCCTTCTGAGTGTGTCAAGTTGCAGTAGCGGAAAGACCGTACGCAGCGCTATCCACTCGGAAGTGGACGACGAGGCAATAGAAGAGAGTCGCGAAATATGCTTGCGGCTCAGAAAGGAGGAGGTGACTTGTCTCGACAAATTGGAGTTGGAGGTCGCAAAGATGATGGAGTCTTGCGACATTCAGAGGGGCGTCAAGAAGACGGTAAAAGATGGACTTAAAGTCATCGAAGTCCTGCTGAAAGAAGCAAAAGCAAAGCATGTCGTGGCCGATGAGTCGGACGTCGATTTGGCATGCGTTCTGAGCGGTGCCGAGTGTAACCGCAAGGACCGTAAGGAAGAGAGAGAGCGTTCATATAGGCGTAATCTCAAAAGCATCATAAGAGATGCTCAGAAACGGAAGAGAGAGGGTGACAGTCCAGAAGAGACTCGAACCAAAACCGATAAGAGGAAGAAGGAGGAAGCTCCTCCAATGGAAACGGAAGTACCAGATCCAAAGTTCCTCAATTGGAAAGAATTGGGTCAAAAAGATCCACAGTTCTAATCCGAGTCGGTCAAGGATTGACGTATGCTGACGTTCTAGGTAAGCTTCGCAAAGAGGTTAACCCGGAGGACAGCCATACGAGAATAGTAGCAGCAAAAGCTACAAACAAGGGGGACCTTCTGATTAAGTTCAGAGGAGACTCCGACAAGGACGCTTTCACCGCCGAGGTCACCAAAGCGGTTGGAAGCATGGGTAAGGTGCAGTCATTGGATCGAAGAGTTACACTCGAGATCCGTGATTTGGATTGCCTTACCCAAGAAGCTGAGGTGCAACAAGTGTTGTCTGAAGCAATGGGTAAGCCAGGAAACAGGAGAGTGACGGTCTTAGGACCCAACCGCCGAGAGATGAAGCTCGCGGTTGTAGTCACCAATCTGGAAGAGGCGAACAGGCTGGAGAAATTGGGACACGTAAAAATTGGTTTTATCTGTTGCTTAATCAAAAGAAGAGTAATGGTCGTCCGGTGTCATCGATGCCTGGAATACGGCCATATTGGAGCCAAATGCCAGAAGGAGGACAGATCGGCTGCGTGCTTTAAGTGCGGTGTAGTTTTTATACTGTCCTTTTTACATTTTATTTTTAATAGATTAATTTTTGTTTTTATGTCCGTTTACAATTTTATCTTTTAACCTTTTAATCTTTTTAATACTTTTTAACATTTGTTCCTTTATTCTTTGACATTGGAATGGTTTTTAATTTTAACTATTGACGCAGAAGAACCGCAGAGAGAGAACAAAGTCGCATGAGCGACAGAGTCGGAGCGCCACCCTCGAAGGCTAAAGTCTTGCGACAGTTCCGAGGGTGGATAAAGGGCTCCAAAAGAAGGGTTACGGGTTTTAGTGGGTCGGGGCTGGCAGTAGGTCGCCAGTTTATTAAATTTTATTATTTTACTTATTTTATCTTTCCTTTTCTTTTTTTTATTATACCAACCCCACATAACCTTGGAATGCGGAGTCCAAGGTATCTGTATGCAGATTTCCCAAAAGTCCCTAAGCGAAAAAAAAGAAAAAAAATAGCGAGATAAGCAGCTGGGCCCGTACCGTAAGCCAGAGTGTTTAACTCATAAGTGTCAATCGGTAAGTGGGGATGAAAACGCCAAATTATGCGTTGCAATGTTCTTTGAGATTCATTTACTAAAACTTGACGGTACAACTTAGCGATGTCTGCCGTTACTACAAAGAGGGTCATCTTTATCAAGTTTGGTCATATGACCTAAATCGATATATTCTTGAATAAATTTATCATATTGAAATTTTAATTCTTTATTCTTTGCTAATTTTTTCTCTAATGACAGAAATCGATTTGTAGCTATTTTTTGGAATCTCCTAAATTAATTCCTCTCTCAGCCTTCATAGGTAAAGTGACCTTAAACCCAGGGCCGGCGCAAGCAGTATGGATGGTATGGAGTTCTCCATACATGAAACGAATCCATGCATGGAACTCCATACACGAAAATTTTGAAAAAAATATTAAAAATTTGACTGCGCATAACTTGAATTAATTTTTTCTATCCACATTTAAAGCAAAAAACGAAAAGTTTTTGTTATTTAATTTAAATTTTACAACTTTCGAGTAAGCGAGTTTAAATTGATTGTAAGAATTTAATTTGACCCTCATTTTGTATAACAATTTCCTCTTTCCACTTTGTTTTTGTAGTTTTGGGTGTCTTTTCTGGTCGGTTAAAATTAAAGACTAAATAATATTGTATGTTAATAGTATAGAGTATCATAAGTTAAATATATATATTTTTAATTTTATTTAAGAGAAATGGATCGATTGGTATCCTTCCCTAGGGGTTTCAAAACCTTGCCGTTGGTGGGAGGCGCACGAGGGGCCTTACCCAGTGGGAGGCTACTTCTCGATATCTCTCGTGGGGACTGGGGGACGAACCCTTCAAAATGTGTCGGCCGCTACAGAAACCGAATCTTTTGTGTTTCGCTGGGCAGTGTCTCAGGGCACGGGGATTTAGAGGGATATCGAGAGAGACGGGATGGACAGAGGCTTGACCGCGGGTCCATTCCGAAGACTTCTTACTGGTGGAAGTCTGACCAAGAAGAAACCCTTCCATGGTTACGTTGACTGTGCCATGGCGATTGAGGCGCGAGTCGGGAAAAAGACGGCAGGACTCGGAGGAGGCTTCCCCTAACAATAGAATGCCGTCAAAAAAGTTAAGGGGCCCACAAGGGGGAACCTTATCGTTTGTGGAGATCACTAGATCGTCATTAGCCGGGGCGATCGTCGCGGAAGGCTATCCTAGGGTCCAGATGACGTTGGCTAATCTGGACCAATTAAGGGTGGCAATTCATGAGGAGATTGGGGGGACGAAGTTGGACCCTATCCTCATTTCGGAGAGGTTCGCCTCACTAGGGGAGCGATCCTAGTAGAATGCCTGGACTCAGAATCTAGGGAATGGCTAAATAGCCGTATACCTAGGTTCAGTCAAGCGTTAGGGGGTCTTGCCATCAAGGTGGTGGATCCGGCTGAGCTGATCAAGCTGGTAAGGGTTGTGGCTTGGGTACCCGGTCCTAGGGTGAACCATGCTTCAATCCTTAAAAACCTCGGTAGACAAAACACCGGGGTGGATACATCCGCGTGGAGGGTGTATTCGGGAGGCGAGGGGAGAGCAGACCAAGCTGCGCCTGTGGGCTGGACTCTGGCGTCAGGAGTACCAGAGAGCGACATTGAAGCTCTCCAAGCCCGGCAGTTGAAACTGTGTTTTGGGCTAGGTCAAATCACTCTAAGAGTGGCGAGGCAAGGTACTGACACAGCTGCTGGGCAGGGTACCCAGGGGGGGGAAGTGACTGAGGAGACAGTGAATCAGCCTTAAAAATGGCTGCTTCCGGGATTCATTGTACGCAGATTAATTTGCATCATTGTAAGAGCGCTTCGGCGATTTTAGTCAAGAGCTTGACAAAGATGCAGACAGCTTTAGCCTTTATTCAAGAACCTTGGGTTTTCAAGGGGAGAATTAGAGGTCTGAACGGCTGTGGCGAGCTGGTTAGTTTACCACAGGAACCAGTTCCAAGGGCGTGTCTGATCTATAAAGGTCTAAACGCTTTCCCTCTTTTGGAATTAACTACAAGGGACTTAGCTGTAGTTAAAGCTAAGTATCTAGAAAAGAAAGGAAATAAAAGGGAGGTGGTAATAGCGTCTGCTTATTTTCCGGGAACAGGGGATGAACCTGCACCACCAAGAGAGGTGGAGAGGTTGGTAGAGTACTGCCAAAGGCGAGGGCTTCCTTTGATAATAGGGTGTGATGCTAATGCGCATCATGTTGTTTGGGGTAGCACAGACATTAATGACAGAGGCAGAAGACTTTTAGATTTTCTGTTAGGTACAGATTTAGATATTCTAAACCAGGGTAAGGAGCCGACTTTCGTTACTGTTAACAGAAAAGAGGTGTTGGATATTACGATCTGTTCCAAGTCTTTGTGTGATGGCGTGGGGGACTGGAGGGTGTCTGATGAAGATTCCCTCTCGGACCACAGGCTTATTACGTTTAGATTGGAATCGATAGATCGGGAGCAGGAGTGCGGACGTAATCCTAGGAGTACCGACTGGCATCATACAGTGAAGACCTCAAGGCCTCCATTGCATGCTTCCCCACTTCTTATGGAACGAGGGAGGAGTTAGAGCTTGCAGCGGAATATCTGCGAGATTCTATTATCTGTTCCTTTGAAAGGAACTGTGTAGTTAAGAAAATGGGCTTCAATGGGGTCGGTAATGGTGGGCCCCCGTTTGGAGGAACATAGGAAAATTGTAATAAAGCTTTTTAATAAAGCCAAGAAACGTAGGCATCAGCGAGCATGGGATGAATATCATACCGCTCGCGTTTCTTACAAGAAAGAAGTAGAGAGGGCAAGGGGTGTCAGCTGGAGAAGTTTTTGCGAGGGAATCGAGAGAGTACCAGAAGCTTCAAGACTTCATAAAGTACTAGCTCGAGACCCAATGGCAAAATTAACTACTATTAAGCTGCCTAATGGGCAGTATGCCCAGGATAAAAGGGAGTGTCTAAAGCACCTGATGGAAGTAAACTTCCCGGACTTTAGAGAAGGTTTGGAGAACAGCCATGGCATAGGACCAGGTAGGAACCGAGGATATCGGGAACACTGGAAACTAGTAGCCAAGGTCGTAACTCCGGAAGGGATTGATTGGGCAATAAGCACTTTCAAACCATTTAAGGCTTCAGGGGGGGACGGTATATATCCGGTTCTTTTGCAAAAAGGATTGGATTGTATTAGAGTACCCCTGTGTAAAATTATGAGAGCATGTTGTAATGGGTTTTTCACAAAGCGATAATGTTTATAAGATTTTTAAAACAAACAATCCAATCATGTTTATAAATTTTGTAAAAAAAACAAACAGTCAAATCAATAAATCATTATTAACCATAATAATAATAATAACAAAGAGAATTACCATTTTTAATAAACAAACAAATAAACTAAATCCAATTTCATAAATATTACACAAAAGAAAAAAAATATTAACAACAAAAAAAGTATTAAATTTTAAGCCAAAGTCTTTGTACCCAATACAATTGGAAGGAAGGAGAGAGGAATACTTTATACATTTCTCAACCTAAATAATTTGTTGAGCGCAAGTCCTTTCTAGGGACATTTTCTTATAAAAAGAAAATTAGAGAATTAACAAAATCAAGTATAATTTTAAGGAAACAAGACCATTGTTTCCCCGAAATTTAGAATTAAAAAATTAATAGCGAAAACAAGTACCTAGATTCCCGAGAAACAACACCATTGATTCTCAAACAATCGTCACTTAAAACAAACAAATTTTAAAAGAATTTTAGTCAAATTATAAACTAAATTAAGTACCTAGATTACAGAAAAATAAGACCATTAATTCTCTGATAATCGTCACTTCTAAAGAAAACCAAATTTTAATCAAAACAACCTTAAAATTGACTAAAATCCAAATTCAAATACAAAATTGAATTCACAAAATTTCGCAACAAGAGCAAAAGGGATTTAGATTAAGAAACGGATAAAATATACAGAATTTTGCCGGTTAGCTAGGACCAAAAAGGTCAAAGGAAGCGTCGTGGTTTAAAGAATTATACTCATCAATTACTAATAAAATTATAAAATATATTTTAAATAAAATATTCAAATTATACAAGTAAGGGTAATAAAGTGATAATTAACAATATGACACAAATCAAATTCTTACACTAAAGTTCCAATTTTTACAGACATAAAATACAACAAATAAATACACACAAAATACACATGAATGTTCATACAAAATTTATAAATTAAACAAATGGTTCAGCCAAATTTACGATAAAAGGGCACCTAAAAGGGTAACAAATATGGTTACTGGGGTAAGCTAGAAGGGTCATTTTCAATAATTTAATAAAAATAAATTATTGTTGGGTTGGTAACTTTGGTAACGGGGAAGAATTTATTGTAAAATTTTAAAATATAAAGGGGAAAAAGGGTGGCAGAAGGCAACACGTGGTTGAACAAGAGACATTGAAATAACCTACTATATAATAAAATAAAATAATTTAATAGTCAATTAATTATTATCCAAATTGCAATAAAATCATTTTAACCAAATTAATTGATAAATTTCAGATTCAAAAACATAAAGAAAAGTCTCTTGTTCAGCCATGAGGCCGGCTGAACTAAAATTATAATGATCACATGATTCTAACGAATCGGTTTAGTAATTAAATTTTTCATAATAAAAAAATATAACTTACAAGCTTAAAAGCACAAACGCATAATCCACAAGGTGAAAAGCAGAAGGCCGTAAAGTACCAGAGAAAGGCGCAAAAGAGAAATTACAAAATGTAAACTAAATTTTAATAACTTGAGGAACACTCAAAATTTTGAATAAAGCGTCTGATTCGATCAAAGGCAGGATCCAAAAAGAACGATGATAACGATGATTGCCGGCTCGTACCCTGCTGGTCCTTCTTCGCTTCTCCCCACCGGTAGCCCTTCAGAATCTTGTATTGTTACGCCGGAAAAAGGAGCGTAACCACTGGAAAAGCCATAGCCCAATTTCAGCTTTAAGAACAGTTGTCGGCATCCTAATTTCGGTATCTTGACCCGTGTCTTTCTCGTCATCAACTGTTTCAGGAAATTAGTTCCTAATTTGTTGCTACTCTGATTCAAAACTAAATAAAACAACTAAATAAACCAAAATACAGAAATCAGAGCGGGCCTTTAGCAACGATTAATTCGGGCCTGATTGACAAGAGGTTTTCACTACGCAGAAAATTTGACGAGAAAATTCTCCCTTATTTGTTTCATAAATAATACTCCTGAATGATAATCAAAATTCCGGAATAATAATAAAGTTAATAAATCTCAGGTTATTATTTATAACAATTCTCGGGTTAGGTACAAGAAAAAGGTAACAATTTCAAAATTATTTCAAGCTAAGTTGGGTGACTTAGTAGTTTCCGGTAGGTAGGAGAAAGCGAAAACGGGGAGAACATAGCGAGAGCGGCAAGTCTCGAAGAGTCATTTCTTAGGAGAAATGGGGAAATTCTCCTTGATTCGTACGAAGAAAGGGGGAAATTGTCAACGACGAGAGGGGAACTCTGCTTGCAGGTTGACCGACGAACGTCGTTTTCGATGATTTCAAATACTAGAAATATTCAGAGAATACGAAAAACAAAAATTCGCAAAAGCGAAACGATAGATAATATTTATATTATCAAATTAATGTTTAGGCAATAAACTAGTTTTAATTTTTAAGCTTTGTTTTAGTTATTATTATTGTTAAAAAAATGATTGTTTGTAATTAAAATTTATGCAAACTTAATATGAAAATCAGTTAATATTTTTATGGAAAATTTGTAACGTCACAATGTATAGCTCTTGGTTATACACCGGAGTCTTGGAAAAAGACGAGGGTTGTGTTTATTCCGAAGGCCGGTCGGTCAGGGTATACTGCGGCGAAGGACTTCAGGCCAATCAGCCTAACCTCCTTTATATTAAAGACGTTAGAGAAACTGGTGGATAATTTTATTAGACAGGAATGTCTTAGAGATTTTCCCCTTTATCAGGGACAGCATGCATATAGAGCAGGCTTCTCAGTAGAAACAGCCCTCCATTCGGCAGTAGGCAGAATAGAGGGACAAATTAGCAGTGGTGGCTATGGGGTTGGTACCTTTCTTGATATCGAAGGTGCCTTCCCTAACATCTCTAGCAAAGCTATCTGTAGGGCAGCCAGGATGCGAGGTGTGCCCGAGCCGCTAGTTAAGTGGATCGACAGCATGCTTCGCGAAAGGGCCCTGGAAGCAGAGTATGGTGAGGCTAAGGTAACAGGCCTTGTCTCAAAAGGGTACCCACAGGGAGGAGTCCTCTCTCCTTTATTGTGGTGCTTGGTGGCAGATAAGTTAATTAGAAACCTCAACAACGAATATAGTAGTTTTCACAAGAAAATATAAGGTACCGAGTTTGAAGAAACCGATATTTTATGGAAAAGAAATTTCTTTTTCTGAATCGGCTAAGTATCTGGGAGTAATCCTGGATAAAAAGTTGGTTTGGAAGGAACATTTTGAATATCAGTATAGAAGATTCTGTACTGCTTTTTGGGCGTGTAGAAGGGCAATAGGGTCATCGTGGGGACTAAGGCCTAATATGGTCAACTGGCTCTATCAGATGGTCTTAAAACCCAGGTTTCTTCACGCGGTGGTTGTTTGGTGGTCTAGGACTCAACTGATAACGGTTAAAGAGAAACTAGACCAACTGCAAGCAATGATTTTCAGGGGTATTACGGGAGCTATGAGAACCACGCCAACAGCTGCGTTGGGATTCATGCTAGCCGAGGTACCTCTGCATATTGCCGCGGTGAAAAAGGCGGCTCTTACTATGATCAGGTTAACCGCACAGGGAAGGTGGAAGGTTGGTGGTATACACACCAAGCTTCCACGCTCAATTCTATCAATTCCAGAATTAAGTATGGTGCAAGTTAGAATGATCAAGAGGGTGAAATTTAAACTCCGCTTTAAGATCATTACACCTTCCAGAATTGACTGGAAGAAAGGTTTTCAACTTGGGGACGAAGTCTGGTATACAGACGGCTCCAAGATGGACTGCGGTGTAGGCTTCGGAATTTATCGAAAAACTGTCTGCATTAAAGTGGCTGCGTCACCAGGACAATATGCCACGGTCTGGCAGACAGAGGTCTGCGCGATTTTAACTTGCGCCCAAATATCCATTCGAAATGGAACAAAGGGCAAGAGGATTAGTATTTGTGTAGATAGTCAGGCGGCCTTAGGGGCTCTGAAAAATCCCACAATAGAATCAAAACTCGTTTGGGAATGCCGTAGCGTACTAGATGAGTTAGGTTCAGCAAATAAACTTTCATTGATTTGGGTACCGGGACACTCGGGAATCAAGGGTAATGAAAGAGTAGACGTCTTTGCGAAAATCGGTTCCGAGACGGAATTTATAGGTCCTGAACCAGCAGTGGCAATAATGCCTTGCTTGGTTAAGGGAGTCATAGGAAGATGGGGTCAAAAAGAGCATGAGAAGTATTGAGCGAACGTTGGGGTGGGAAGGCAAGCGAAAACTCTGTTGGGGCTAGTACTCAACAAGAGGCGAGCGAGCGATTTCCTAAAACTCGATAAGATCAGAGTTAGAACCGTAGTTCGTCTACTTGCGGGACATGGACTATTGAATTACCATCAGCATAAAATAGACAGACAAGTTTCACCTATGTGCAGACTGTGTGGGGAGAGTAACGAAATTTCGACTCACATATTATCAGAATGCCCAGCGTTAGCTAGGATCTGGCTATCTAGCTGGGTTCAAGCAATTATTGACCCTAAGCAGGTGAGCAACCTATCGATAGAAGAGATACTGGACTTCTGGAGAAGAACAGGACTCTAAGGGGTTGCGATAAACGAGCGAGCTGGAGTTTGGTACAATGGGTTTTATAACTTAGGTGCTCACTTTCCCCTCTTGAGGAAAATCCAGTTCGATCTCGGTTGATAGATTAGATTAGATTACTCGCGGTATTATATTCTAAATACCCCTCCCCCCTCACAAACAATTTCCATACATGAAAAAGATTGTTTGCGCCGTTTCTGCTTAAACCGACCTTCAGGAGTGACTTGTGTGTTTTTGTTAAAATGATTTTCGAGAGGACAATTTTTTAAAATATCAATTTTCGAGGTAACATATTGATCCTCCAACTCCCAAAATCTGCACATTTGATCGTTAAGATCGTTTGTTTTTGTTAAGTAACAAAAAGAATTTTTTGGTTCCTGTATTAGCGACAATGAACCGGAGATAATCTAATCAAAATGCGCTTTTTGTAAAGTGGGTAAATTTGACCCTAATCGAATTTGTCCCTGACACAAGAGATCCCAAAAAATAGACGCGCCCATCAAAATGTCAATGGGGTTTGACTCGAAATATTTAGGATCTGCCATGCGCAAATCATCCGGGATATTCAAATTATCAATTTCGAAAGATGCATTTGGAACATTAGTTGTTATATTAGGTAACGCTAAGCACGATAATTTAGCCTTAAAAGAGTTTACACGTAAATTAATTACGAGATTAATATGCTTCGTTATTTGAGATTCTCCTTGCCCGATTCCCGAGATATTTATTTTTATTGGTTTAGTGCTTAATTTGAGCTTTTTACATAAATTCTCTGTAATGAAGTTGGACTGCGAGGCAGAATCTAGAAGCGCGCGACACTCATGAGGCTTGCCATCTCTATCGTTTACTAAATTATGATTGCCGTTGCCAGCAATACTTGTTTCTTACTCGACATTGTGTTACACGCTGCTAAGAAAAACACAGACACAGTCGACGCGGAATCACACGACTCTTTTATTTCTATGTTTTTTAAATGAAGCACGGTGTCATGAAGTTTAGAACATTTTCCGCACGTAGACTGACTCCGACACTTGCGCGTATTATGTCTTTTTTTAGACAGTTTAAGCAAATATGCAATTTGCGTGCTTCGTCAATCCTCGATTGTACCGAAAGTTTTAAAAATGAGCTACATGCAGTTATATAATGAAAGCCTTTACAATAAAAACAATACTCGAAATCGACTGTCAACAAAGTTTTAGACGCATGGCCCGAACGTGACGTTCTGTCATTAAATTTTGTATTGTTGGCCTTGGCCTTTTCTGTTTTTATGCCCTGAAGAATTTGGCAACGATCAAAGAAGAGCTGTATAGTTAATGTAGGAAATTATTTGCTGATTAAGAATTTTAATTAAGGAAGATTTCGACTATATCAGCAATTAGTGACATCTATTAGACGTCGATTAAACTCTTTGGTTTAGAGTCAGGTGTTATTCTTAAGATAATTATTCCGATATGGTTGTCGGTATATAATTATATTTTTTTTGAATTTAATTTTTGATCTGAAAAAATAAGCTGCGTAACGACTGCACTGAGCATCTGTGAGGACTCGAACCCCAGTTAATAGCTGCCTTTCGCGGGACTAACGCCTACCAATGCACCATGCCAACACAGCCTGGACGTTCACGTTTCTTATAATCTCAGATGAAGCCCATACACTAGTCGAAGAGCTGTATAGTTAATGTAGGAAATTATTTGCTGATTAAGAATTTTAATTAAGGAAGATTTCGACTATATCAGCAATTAGTGACATCTATTAGACGTCGATTTAACTCTTTGGTTTAGAGTCAGGTGTAAGATAATTATTCCGATATGGTTGTCGGCATATAATTATATTTTTTGAATTTAATTTTTGATCTGAAAAAGCTATTAACTGGGGTCCGAGTCCTCACAGATGCACAGTGCAGTCGTTCACGCAGCTTATTTTTTCAGATCAAAAATTAAATTCAAAAAATATAATTATATACCGACAACCATATCGGAATAATTATCTTAAGAATAACACCTGACTCTAAACCAAAGAGTTCAATCGACGTCTAATAGATGTCACTAATTGCTGATATAGTCGAAATCTTCCTTAATTAAAATTCTTAATCAGCAAATAATTTCCTACATTAATTTTCCTAATTTTTTTAAAAGTTTTTTTTCCATTTTTAACTTTTTGTCCTATCTCTCTAGAAATGATTTATTTTTTCCTAATAATTAGATAACAAAAATATTACTATTGTTTTTATTTTCTTAGTTCAAATTTTTTTTGAGTTGCTGAAGTAATTTTTTACTATTCTCTAAGTAGAAGTATTATAATTTTGATTGTTTTGGTAGTCACTTTTATGTTTTTAAAGAAACCTTAATTTCATTTTTAATAGGTTCTTTTTTAACCAAAATTTACTTGTTTTACTATATTGTGATATTATCATATTTTTCTGAAAAAGAAGTTTAATATTAACTTGTGACGCATTGGGATTTGTTGGTGAATGTTGCAGGGGCATTTTATCAATAAATTGAATTTAATATACCAAACAATTTGATCATTTATTTATAGATTAAGACAATAAAATTTTGATAGTTTTTATAACTGCGATACGTCTTATATAATCCTTTAAAATACCCGACATTCATTTACATACGTCACACACATACACAAAGTACATATAAATAATAAAATAATCAAGTTACAAATTTAAGATGACTCTGCTGCAACAAAAACCAAAAAGGGCAGTTGGTACCAAGTCCAAATGAATGGTAAAGTCAAATCAATGGTAAAGTCCAAATTGATGGGACAGTCCAAATCCTTGCTGAATGGTTAAATCCCAATCGTCCAATGAAGATCAACTTCACAATGATCTCAGATTTGAGAGGAGAGCACAAAAAACGTGTAGACTGAGGTCTACGGGAAACGTGTAATAACAACAATAAAAAGATTATAACAATAATATATTATAACTATCAATTAAAAGAAATTCTAATTTCTTGAATTTGACTCTCCCCTCTTAATCATCAAACTCTCTCCCTCTCTCTCTCTGTGGGCATATAATATATGTAAAATTTTTTATGTATTTTCTAGTTTCATTGTTTTCATTTCTGGAGGAACATTCGAATGACAAGTCTTTTATCGCGAAATACGTTTTGTATCTACTACATCTTATTTTAAGTTTACAGTGTTCTTAAATTTAACAGGATGTGAATCAAGATGTTCATTGCATGTATATTTTGCTTCCTCTTCAGGATCATCACAAATATTTGCTCCCTTCTGGAGTAGGGCTGCGCACGAGACAAGCAAAGCCTCAGTCTCGTCTGGAAATTCAGTAACGAGACCGAGACTAGATGACAGAAAAATATTCGAGACGAGATCGAGACTTGTATTATTCTCGTCTTGGATTTTCATCGATAGTCTCGTACATACTAAGAATTAAATTAATCTAGAATTTTCCTAAATAAAAAATGTATTTCATAATGACTGCTCGTTAATTTCTATTTTTACAAATTTTTAAACAAAAAACGTAGTTATTTTTTATATTTTAACTAATCCAAAAACACAAAATTTTAAAGTCCCTGAAAAGTTGATGTCGACGCTGAGCGTCGAAGACCGATTTTTTCACGAAACCGGAAAGAATTAAATGATTTTTACAAATGTTGTAGATTAAAAATTTACTTTTTTATTGTTTAACTTCTTAGGGAAATAAGAGGTGGAATTATTAGTGACATTTAAATCTTTGAAACTATCAAATAATAATTTTCTACGTTTATCGTCGATTCCAACTTCAGTGACGTACATTTTTTTAACAAAGTTGAAAAATAATAATTCTTGTGCTTTATCTTACTGAAAAGCATAATTGAAGGAAATGAATTTATCACTCGGTGATTAAATATTAAATTTGAAAGAAGTTAACAATTTTTCCGAATCAATCTACACAAATAAATTAAATATCTTAAATAAATCTCGATAAGCTCATGGGCTTCATATGTATCGACAGCACAGCTGCCCTAATACAGAAACCTGCTTAATTTGAAAAATATTTTCAAAATTAATTAATAATTTAAAAATTATCATAGAACTCAGAAAAAAACGGTAGCATGGTGGGATACGAGCCCACGACCTTTCTACCGTTTTTTCTGAGTTCTTTAAAAATTTTGAAATTATTAATTAATTTCGAAAATATTTTTCAAATTAAGCAGGTTTCTGTATTAGGGCAGCTGTTCTGTCGATACATATAGGTAAATCTAAAAAACATTCAACTTTTATGTGACTTTGCTTTTTATGTACGTATGCCCTACAACAAACCTAATTCCTTCTGGATAAAATACATGTTGTACTACTCAATGCCTTAGAAAAAGTTTGGAGTAGTTAATTGAATAATTTATGTGTTACGCGACTTAAAAGTCAGAGAATAATAGAAAAACTCAAAAATTTGGCGGTGATTTTTAGGAGATGGAAGATTGAACTGAAAATAACTTTTGAAGCAATTTATGTATTAATCTGATATTTTGTGTATTATTATTTCTTATTTATTCATTTCAAATATACTAAGTGAGAAAAGTGTGCAACAAAAAATAGCGAAATGGTGAGTATTTAATAAGGGGTGACTCTAATTTCAACCACAATAAATTATTTAGTTTTTTTGCATGTAATTTTTGAAGCATTTAATTTTTAAA